GTGAGATGTAGTCCACAACATCTGTAGTGACTAATGTTGCCTACCCCTGGTCTAGTGTATTGAAAAGCCAATTAAATAGTCAATCGATGAAGCATGTCGCACAGGTGCCATCATTCTTATGTTGATAATAGACACAAGGGATTATGTTTGAAAATAATTTATGGGAAATAATTTAACATTCAGAATGAGCATTCCTTTGGTTCCTGTGTTGATTACCCTGCATTTAGAAGATCACCCTAGCATTATAGATAACCCCATTAAATTATAGATGCTATGGTAGAGCATAGATATCACTTAGAGGCTTCCAGTTAATGTTGTTGGATAGGCTTTCAAAATTATTTAATATTTTTCCATGGATTTGTCAAATTATTTAACATTATGAAACTATGTTAATTTTGTAATATTTTGATATTTATTATATATTGATATTATACACAGTCCTGCACTTACATTTGAGTTTTTAGTGCCACGGTGCTCCTTGAGTCTACTAACATAAATATCAATTAAGGAAGTCACTCACTGGTCGTATTAATCAAATAAGTGTTTCTTAATGTAGCACAGTTAGCTTAAATCAGATCAACGTTTCAGCCCGTTCCAGTACTTTCATCAGGTTGATGTGATTTAACCTAATCGTGGTAAATAAAGACACACTCCTTTGACTAATAAGACCGTTGAGTGCCTTTGTTCGTGGTTATTTTTCTATTTATATATTGATAGATTTTTTTAATGTTTTAATATGTTGAAAAGATTAATTTTAAAAGTTTATCCAAAAATATTAAATGCATTTGAAAGCTTAGTCCACAATATTAAATTGAGACCAAATTAAGACACACAGTTTGGCATTAAAAAGTAGATAGCATCAAATAGAATTCTTAGAAAGTTTTGAAAAAGATATGGCCTTCATTTATACATAGAGTTTAATGATCAATTATTTCATATTTATGCTGTGTCACAGGGAGCGTGTAGAGGAGTGTGATGATGGAGCGCTGCATGATGGTGATGGCTGTTCCCAAAAATGTTTACGGGAGCCAAACTACATTTGCCATGGTAAGTGTCTGATGTACAAGATAATAAGTTATAAAAGCAGTAGTTGAACTATGACAGGGATGTGGAATTTATATTGCCAAACGCCCAGGACATGCAGTGCTGAGCGATGAGCAGGAAGTTTTTTTAAATTCTTTTAGCCATGCCTTGGGGAGGGTTGATGCTGGGCAGGGATTTCATCTTTGGCAGGAGAAGAGCTGGACTGTCCTACCCAGAAATGCCTTATTGGGATGCTGCAGCTCACTATTGCCTCACATGGAGTTGTGAAGAATGGCAGTAGCCAAAAGCTTCTCATAATGCTCAGGAACAATTGCCACCTGGATTCAGAGTGATGTTATCTCCTGGCAGCCAACATGCTGTTTCCGGGCAAAGACAGCATTTTGGCAGGCTTCAGCTTGTAATCAGTGCTGTGCATGTGTGTGTCATAGATTGTGTAGTTTGTGTGTGCATGTCAGTCAGTGAATGAGCCTGTGTTAGTGGATGTTTGTGTCAGTGTGCAGTGTGTTCGTGTATGGGTCAGTGAGTGTGTGTTGGTAGATATGTGTGCAGTGTGTTTGTGTATGGGTCAGCCTGTGTGTATCGGTATGCTGTGTGTGTCTGTGCATGGGTCAGTCTGTGTGTGTCTAAGTTTGCAAATTGTTTGTGTATGGGTCAATGTGTGTGTGTCAGTGTTCAGTGTGTTTGTGTATGGGTCAATGAGTGTGTGTTGGTGGATGTGTGCATCAGTGTGCACTGCAGTGTGTTTGTGTATGGGTCAATGATTGTGCGATGGTGGATGTGTGTGTCAGTGTGCAGTGTGTTTGTCCATGGATCAGTGTGTCAGTATTTTTCAGTATATCATAACCACATACAGCTAGCACACACCACACACACCATATGCAGCCAGCACACATCACATTCACATCACACACATTCTGCACACCTCATTTGCCTCAAGAAAAAGTGCCCACCACATGCACTTGACAGAACCAGCACACGCATTACACAAAGCAAGAACACTCCACACACACATGACACACAGCCAGCAATCACTGTACATACATGACACACAGCGAGCACACAGAAATGACACACAGCAAGCACACATCACACACAATGAAAAAGGGGGAGACTATGGGAGTGCAGAGTGTAATTCACAAGACCCTGGATTTTTCCCAAATAAATCCAAATAGCAAAACTGGGGCCAAAGTGTTGTGATTATAGCAGAGTTAGAGAGTTTTTCCACATCAGCTATTTTTGCCTTCAGTTTCCCTTTCAGCAAATAACCCTGTCAATATCCAGGGCTCTCAACAGGGGCCCCAATCTTTTTCATTGAAAAAGATTGTCATGACGGGCAAGTAGATTGGGCTATCACTTTTGTCCCTCGGACAAGTAGGTTTTTGAAAGAAAATCCACAGCCCTGCATGATACGGGCTCTGCTTTCCAGTGGAAAAGGTGTTCATGTAGATTTGAATGTATTGAGCTGTGAAATGGTTTGTAACAGCTGGCATGGCTGCTTGGATTTTATTAGTATGGACATGGTCTGATTTTCTTGGCAGGGGAGCCTAGTCTGTGCTATTTACAGAATGAAGACTATACCACTGAATCTCGTGACAACAGTATGGAACTATCAGCAAACTATGCTGCTCAACCATTGAAAGGAAACATTGAGCAATGGGCTTCCAAAGCTTTTGCTTCCCACCAAGATGCCAACAAATGCCCGGTTTCTGCAGTAACTCAAGAGCCAGCCAGGAAGGTAATTTGATGTCTGCTTATTGTTTGTGCTACTTTCCATAATGCTTTCCCAATTATCTATTCCATTGCTTTTTATTGTTTCGAAAAAGAAAAAAAAAATTATCTTTCTGTCACGCTCGTTTTTCGGATAATTGTTCTCCTTAATCTAGGACAATAAAGTGAGTCCATAAATAATAACAACAACCAAATATAAAGAGATTTCAAGTTCACTAAATGCACTGATGATAATTCTCTGTCTGTTGCTGTTGTCTCTGGTCATAGTTGCCTTTCATTTGTCTTACGCAATACTATAGTAAGTGGTGGATGAGCCAAGTCTATATTTGAAGTGTTTGTTCTTTTCCCCCTTAATTCTAGAGCTGTTACCCTTCTGTTTTACCATCTTTCATCAACAATCTATTGGCGTGGTTTCCCTGTGCAGGGATTGGAAGCCTACCTCAGGAAGAACATGTATGGCTCAAGGTACCATTATCATACCATATTTTTACAAGGGTATGTGTGTGGTTCAGGTTGTTGACAGATTAAAATATCCACGGCTAACCATCTGGCAGTAGATTATGGACTCTAGTATGGTCATAGCTGAAGGGTCATAATGTATCTACAGATCCACCAACATAAATAAACATAAAAAAACAGCTTTTCTCAGGGTTCAGTGAAACATTAATATAGTTAAAGTAGGATTCCCAATCACACCCGAAAGAGGAGTAAAAGATGCTCAGCACAATTAGCAACTGTTTCATTGCCAGGATGCTTACAAGGAAGTGCTTAAAAGGAACAATAATTGTAGCTACATAACTGATTTATGGAATTCTACCAGCAGAGCAAGAACTGACAACAAGCTTTTCTTTAGGTCAGCTTTGATAAACCAAGTCTAGCGGATTCTTTCCTTGTCTACCTGGCAGCTGATGGAGCCATTCTTGGTAATTCACAGAAATCGATAGTTACGGCTCATCTGACAGACATCAAGGGACAAAACCACACGCTTGGTGAGTTCTTTATTTCTGAAACTGTTCTGCAATGCTCTCTGTGAGCATCAAGATTGTTTGCTTTTTAATCGTAAAGAAAAAAACATGTTTACAACTATTATTTTTATTTATATAACACCAACATATGCTTTGTAGTATGTATATAATACAACCAAGTTAGGCTGAAAAAGATAAACATATAAAGCTTACGCTCCAGAGAACCAACAAAATGATATATTTGCATGTCACAACTAAAGCAACATTTCAGCAGTAAGCATGCCCAGCATACCAAACTAGTGCATGAAAACACAAAAAAGTAGTTTTTCTGTATAGATAAAAGTTGAATATTTAATGAAACCTTCTTTATAAAGTACATTTATATTCCTTAAACAAAGAAACTTAAAGCAACACTAAGCTTTTTCCCAAGCCCTGTTCTAAGCTACATACCACCCAACACCAGTGAATCAGAGATTGGGGCAAAGGGGCCAGGCAAGTCATACAAAATTGCTTCACTGGCACCACCCAAAGGGGCAAAACCTCAGAGAATGGGAGAAAACTAGCAAGTCAGCCTGACGTGAATGAGGGCAGACTGTTTCAGTGCTCTCTGCATTATCCTACTGTCCTTAGCATATCCTTAGTTGCCTTTAGTTTCTTGGTGGCCCCAAAAGCAGGACAACAGTTTGACTCCGTACAGGGGGAGGGTTCCATAAAAATTCTAATACCATAACCATATCTGAAACAGAACAGACTACATTTTTACTAAAGTGATAACCAGGATTACAGTCATTTGTTATTATTTATCTTCAACCAAATAAGGAGTTAACTAAAACTGACCCTAAATGTGGTTAAATGGGGGCAGGCAGGACAGTCTAAACCTGCCTTTTGTCCATGCATGGGAACACCTGACACATTCCTTGTGCATACCTACTGTTTCATCCAGTAAAAGACAATAATCAGATATAATAAATTTGGTGATGTGATATATACGTATAAAATAGAACTTGAAATCAGTCACATGGTGATAGTTATAACTGAAGAGCCACAAGGTATCTACTTCTGATTCACCAACATAAATAAACATAAACCATTTTTCACAGTGATCATTCAGAAACTCTCACTAACACCTATCAGTATGTGCGTACTTGCAAACAAATACACAAAAGTAACTTGTTAAAATTAATATAGAGACTGCAAACAGAGCTATGCAAAACCAAAGAACAATATATAAAAAAAATGCAAAAACTTGTGTCCATTCCTATCACATTAATTCTCGCTCTTTTTTTTTTTAAAGTAATACTTAACAAGAAATATTACCATAACAAAAAATGACAAGTGATTTATTTGTTCATAGAACACAAATGGTACTCATGCAACATCACCTGTACACAACTATAAGGAGGTAGAAGATCTGATCCTAATAATGTTGTTTTTATGATTTTACGCAAATCTAAGACGACAATGATGACAACTCGATGCGAACAGGTGGTGGAATAGACAATACTCGTTTTTTTTTAAAAACATGATTGTACGCTACTTAATATTTTGTTTATACTGTCTGTCTGTCTATCTATCTGTCTGTCTATCTATCTCTGTCTGTCTATCTATCTGTCTCTCTCTCTATCTATTTATATATATATATCTTTCTCTCTGTCTGTCTATCAGTATATCTGTCTGTCAAACATCTAAATATGTAGGCTAACTTTAGTATTAACTCTAGCATTAGGAATACATGTTTGTATTTCTTTTCAAATATTTTTTTATTAAAGGTTTTATATTTTTACATCAATATATGCAATACTTTTCTATTGAGTACATATAAGACAAATTGCATATGGAGATACATACATCACATGTACAAAACCAAAACGAGTACAAACAAAACAACAACAAATAATAGTTTATAGTAACAACAATACAACTTCATTATATCATTGTTTTCCTTGTGTAGTAAACAATTAACTTTGTTTGTATTTCTAACCAGGGCCGCACTGGGAATTCAAAGCAGCCCTGGAAAAAAAATGTATGCCAGCCCCATAAGTTCTTGTGCCAAGTAATGTGTATGTGTACACTGGCGTACATATAGCGGTCGCAGGGGTCGCAGCTGTGCCCGGCCGCCCTGCAGACCCCTGCAACCAGGTCTCCGCCATCATCATTTGCGGCACCAGCCCGTGCGGCAAACTGCCGCGGCCACATTTTAAGGTGCCCATCGGGTGGCCCATGCTGTCAGGGCCACCCGATGGGTATGGATTTTCAGGGGGCCCGGTCAGCGCTGCATCATTTTGAGATCATCAGACGCTGGGAGGAAGTGACTCCCTGTCACTCATCCCAGCTATCACTGAGAGCCCGCGCGGGAGGAAGCAGAGGAAGTCAGAGTAGGAACTCTGACTCCCATCAACCTGAACCACCACTGGATCTCAGGGAAAGTCACCCTCCTGCACTTAAAAAGGTAGGAAACAGGAGGGTGACTTAAATATTATGTGTATGTTTGTTTGTTTGTATGTATGTAGGTGTCTGTCTGTATTTATGTATGTGTGCCTGTCTGTTTGTATGTATGTGTCTTTGCATGTATGTCTTGTGTGTCTGTCTGTCTGTATGTATGTATGTATGTATGTGTGTCTTGTGTGTGTGTGTGTGCCTATCTGTTTGTATGTATGTTTGTCATGTGTGTGTGTGTGTCTGTTTTTATGTATGTATATTGTGTATGTGTGTGCCTGTCTGTTTGTTTGTATGTATGTATGTTTGTCGTGTGTGTGTCTGTTTTTATGTATGTATCTTGTGTATGTGTGTGCCTGTCTGTTTGTTTGTATGTATGTATGTGTGACTGTCTGTCTGTATGTATGTGTGCCGGTCTGTTTGTATGTATGTGTGCCTGTCTGTTTGTATGTATGTGTCGTGTGTGTATGGGGAGGGAGTTAGAGGGGGGGCCCCATGGATCAGTTTTGAACCGGGGACCCATGGGTTGTGTGTGTGTGTGTGTGTGTGTGTGTGTATGGGGAGGGAGTTAGAGGGCGGGCCCCATGGATCAGTTTCGAACCGGGGACCCATGGGTTGTGTGTGAGTGTGTGTATATATATATATATATATATATATATATATATATATTACACACATACATATACAGTTCAATCTTGCCTTGCACTCCTGCTTTAATATAATCACTGTTTTAATACCGGGTGCTAATTAGGCAATTTAGGCAGCCGTCTAAGGCTTTGCGCTGCCTGGGGCCTCGCAGCCACCTAAATCACCATAGGACAGACTGTGTCAGGTCCTCGGTCAGTGACCGAGGACCCGACACCAGCAGTGGCCCCAGCGGCTTGCTCTGTATGCCGCTGATTGTGAGGCCCCTCCAGTCTGCCCAGCCAGAGAGCGCCAATCGCAAACACAGGTCTGCAGCTCCGCAATGTGCAGAGCTGCAGACCATGTGTCTCGCGAGACCTGGCCAATCAGAGTGTTGCCGCGGGTTACCACGGCAATGCTCTGACTGGATCTCGCAAGATACATGGTCTGCAGGTCTGTGGAGCTGCAGACTGCATTATGGCCACCGGACCACCAGGGAGCATTATGGCCACTGGACCACCAGGGAGCTATAAAAAGGTATTTAATTCCTTACCAGCACTTCCTCCCTACCTCCCAACATTATCACCCCCCCTCACTCCATCAATAGCCCCACTCCATCAATACCTGCCTCCCTCACTCCATCAATACCCCCCTCCCTCACACCATCAATACAGTCACTCCATCAATACCCCCTGTTCACTCCATCAATACCCCCTCACACCAGTAATACCCCCCTCACACCATTAATACCACCCTTCTCTCCATTAATACCCCCTTCTCTCCATTAATACCCCCTCACACCGTGTACCTTCCTCCGTGTACCCCCTTCCCTCCCACCAATACCCCCTTCCACTCCCGTGTACCCTCTCACCATTAATACCCCCTTCCCTCCATTAATACCCCCTCCTCCTATCCATCAATGCCCCCTTCCCTCCATTAATGCCCCCCTTCCTCCATTAATACTCCCCTTCCTTCATTAATAACCCCTTCCCTCCCTCATCATTGCCCCTTCCCTCCGTGGCACCCCCCCCTTACTCCATTAATACCCCCCCTCACACCATCAATACACCCCTCCCTCAGCTTACTGAAACACACTCACTACACACACACTTACTACCAACACTCACTACACACACTCACAGTATTTAATCCTACATGGCACCGGAGTATTCTCTGGGAGGCCACACTCTTAGGCCTGTTCCTGCAGCTAGGTCCACTGCTTGCATGCAGGAGGCAGGGCTTCCATGCGGGGGTGGAGCTACAATGCGGGGGCGGAGCTACCATGCTGGGCCGGTAAGTGCTAAGGAAGGTGCTGGGAACGGAGACTCAGTGCTCCTTGCTGCTGGCACCAGCCCCCAGCCAGGGCCGGATTAAGAGCACAGTGGGCCTGGTGCTGACAATTATGATGGGCCTAATTACAAAATCTTATCGACCAAAAACACTAAGACAATCATACCTCCCAAGCGTCATGTATCTGATGGAGATGGTGCTGGAGGGAAACTCATAGGATGCAGCTATAAGAAACACATACTCTATGCTAATTTCTCTCTAATTTATGCTTTCATCTTTCAAGTAAATCCATAACCCCTAACAGCAGTGTCCAGTGAAGCAGGAAGTCAATGGGCGGGATAAAAGGGTGGGCCACTGGCGCGAATCACGTGACAAGACCTGCAAAAAGGGGTGAACATGCCCAAAAAGCGGGCATGTTTGTCCAAAGAATTGGAAGGTCTGCCTGCCAATCCTGCAGGCTGTCCAACTAAGGGCATACTATGCAGGCAGCACCTTGAGCTTGACATAAATGTGTCTAATGATGCGCTCACTCCATTCTTTCTAAGGACTGTCCCCTAGCACTCGCTGGTCCAATTGTCTCCTTACCTTCTTACTAGTAGGCAGAAGTTCCTGGTATATAGTCTGAGACAGAGAAAAGGTGTCTGTAGTGAGTGTAGAAGAATGGGGACATGCCACAGTGTTAGAGAGACCAACGTCTGCATTACCTAAACTAGCCAGTGCACACAAGTTTTGTTCCCATACATCGCTCTTAAGCTTCCAAACTTAAAGGGACACTATAGTCACCAGAACAACTACAGCTTATTGTATTTGTTCTGGTAAGTAGAATCATTCCATTAAGGCTTTTTGCAATAAACACTGTCTTTTCAGAGAAAATAACTCCACTGGCCTTTCCTTAGATGGCTGCTAGAGGTGCTTCCTGGGGCAGTACTGCCTAGTGTGCAGCACTGCCATTCAGTGTCTCCACCCCTCTGCATGCAGACACTGAACTTTCCTCATAGAGATTCAATTTATCTTTATGAGCAGATGCTGATTGGCCAGGGCTATGTTGGACTTGTGCTGGCTCTGCCCCTGATCTGCCTAGTTGACAGTCTCAGCCAATCCTATGGGGAAGTATTGTAATTTGCTCAGACCACCACTTCTGAGCCAGCAGCTGCATAATTGAATACAAGTAATATTTTACTATATTTAGGGAGGCAAGAAGGGGCCAGGGTGGTGGTTTTAACATAATAGGGTCAGAAATACATGATTGTGTTCCTGACCCTATAGTGCTCCTTTAAGCAAGAATATGTGAAGAGTAGTTAAGGTTGCCACCTTTCTTGGAAAAAAAATACCAGCCTTAATCATTTGTATAATTAATTAGTTATGCGTGACATCACATGA